AGATCTCGCTTCGCATGAAAAGCCAAAAACCTCTAGCCAAGGGAAAGATGGGATAACAAACATTGATATCAACATTACAGCCGAAAAATATCGGAAAATCGAAATTGGAAAAAAGATTATATGCATAATTTAATAATAAATGGTCTAAACATAAATTTGTGTATTATTACTGATTTTAATGCTACACTTACAACTGATATAACATTCATAATTGTTAACTGTTCTCTAACAATAACTAGAATATGACAGGCGTGCGCTACTGACTTTTTAACATTATATATACAAATATATATAAAATGCAGGATATTCGGAAAGAATGGGACCATCCTATGATTTCCAACAATACCATACACACTTTCAAGAAAAATGACCCGAATAAAGGTTGTAAGGGTCATGAAAGATTTTTGGTGACCTTGAACTTGAATAATTGTTTGAAGGTCACATAAAGGTCACTTTTAATTTTCTAAATAGAACCCACATTTTTCATTAAATATTCTTGTAGCTACTCTAGAGTTTTTCAAATAATCAAATATTTTTTCATGAAGTACATTTCAAATAAGGTTTGAAGATTACAGTACTGCCGGCATTAGCAAAGTGTCTGACCGACGGTTAAAATATCTTGAACGTTGTTCAGAATCATGTCCTGAATAATATTTGAGATCAAGGTCATCGGACATTGTTTCTCTTACTTCTATTTTTATATAAAAACGAATTTTTAATGTAAAAATAAAACCGGGTACCGTTTAGTCAGATACCTTACGTAATGCTAATGCCAATACTGTAATTTTCAAGCTTTATAACTAGAAATGTACGTCATGAAAAAATATTTTATTATAGTGTTTTGAAAAGCTCTTAGGGTTAGCTAGAAGAATATTTAATGAAAAATAGAAGTTCCATTTAAGAAATTAGAAGTGATCCTTATGTAATCTTCAATCAATTATTTAAGATAAAATTCAAGGCAAAGGATAATCCTTCATGACCCCTGCTATTTGAGTTATTTTCTTTGAAAGTGCGTACTTTTGGAGGTCATAGAGAGTCCCATTTATTTTGAATATCCTGTGCGTGCGTGCGTGAGTGCGTGCATGTGTGTGCATATGCATTTTCGTTAGTCTAGGCGTGACTAAAATGTGGTATTGCCACCTCTATTTTGAACCGCCCTGCAAATGTCTCATATCAATACATCTCCATATTGCAAACTATGAAATAGAACGCCAAATTTGATGAAGCGTTTCCATTAACTGTCCCAAATTTTCTAATTGCGGAAAATTCCGTCGTAATTGACGACCAATCATATCCCAAATATGCTCTATTGGATTGAGATCAGGACTCAGTGGAGAATAATTTAAAACCGCAATATGGTCCTCTTATAAAAACTGTCGCGTAATGCTTTGGGTGAGGACGTGCATTATCATGCATTAAAATGAATCTATTTCTCGTCTAAAGATTATATGTTTCATGGGTTTCTTCCGTGTCTAGATCCATTCTTGGAATGCCAACGTTTCGTGAACCTTGTAGTCCACTTCATTAGGGTGAAGAGCAGTCTGATATTGAGCTGTTCCCTCGGGCCGTTCCTTTTATATTATGCTACTTGTTGTAATGATAAGGAGAAAGAAGAGAATTATTGGTTAGGGGGGGGGGGGAAGAGGTAGGAGAAATTGATCTTCAATAACCGGGAAAATAGTTTTCCATATTTTATTTATGTTTTAGTCATTATCTCTATTTAGATTGTTAGATGTTTTTGTATCTCTATGACTTCTTTATACTTTCTTGGAAAGTATGATGCAATGTTGGCTATTGTGGTCGTTTTGTCAAACAGTATTTGATGTTCTGTTTTGATGTTGTGTTCTGGAATAAGAAGAATAAGTTGGAATAAGTTGGAATAAGAAGATCTCCAATATAAATATTCTTGAAAAAAAATTAGTACTATTAAAATTACTATTAATTGAGTTTGATACTTAGTATTATATACAAAGGGCCGGTTTCACCAACTCGATTAAGCCGAATCAGTGTCAACCATAAGTGGTCAATTCTATTAAACAGCAAATACAATTAGTCAGTTCCACGATCAATTAAATAATTGGCGTTGGTGAAACCGGCCCAAATGATTCTTCACGAAAAACACGAGTGCTTATCGCTTTTTTACCTTCTTTTAAAAAGATAAGTTTGTATAAATAACAAAAAACGACACCATTTATCAAAGAACTGGAAAAGATACGGGCAGTAGGAGTCAAGCGTAGAAGACGTCGCGCAAGTAATATATCTATGAAGTGTGAAACTTCTTTATTCACTAA